TTTATTGAGCACTCACATGTTGATTAGTAGGAACCATGTGCCCAACATTTAAAACAACAACATGAGTCAAGCTCGCCCATTGCTGCACGTGACCCGTGAATGATCTATTTACATTCCAAACCTTTCTCCTAGCCATTAGGAATTTCTCTTGATCATCCCATTTCAATTGATTTATCCATGTTTTATTGTCAACCACTCTAGMTTTTAAATCAAATTGTTCTTGGTATTGCAAGACCTATTTACCAGTTCCTCCATCATGGATCTTCCGTTCTTCATATGATCTTCTATCAAAGCTTTACTTACATCATTATTSCATGCTTTTTGAATCAAACTCTTTGCRCCCAAAGCCGTCATTACCTCTTATTCAACAAGAAATTCATCAACCCATTCAGTTAAATAGCGATATTTCCTCCTAAGGTAAAAAAGAGTAGCTAAACCTTTCTTTTCCTTTAACTGGTGCATGAAATCCTTATTTGCCTTAGTTGCTATATTTTCGCTCTTGGGCTWGTCTTGTAGCCTCAACTTGAAGTTTTTCAAGCTTGACCTTTTGTTTTTCATTAATTAAACTCGAGAAATATACAATTGTGGGAATTGTAGCCAATTGGGTTATAAAGTTAGAACACCCATTACCAATTGCAACTCCCTTTAAATTCAATTTGTGGAGAATAGATRCAAGAGAATTTTGTCATAGAATATTAGACCCAATTGYAGGAATATACTTTCCAACATAGCTCTCACCGGTGATATAAAATGGGTGACTTAAATGGGTTTAATGACATAAATGCATTGAATGCAATGAAAAGATGGTTGACAATAGTATCCATATCCTTGGTATTTTTTTAGGTGTTGAAGCAATACTATAACTAATCCCAATTGTATTGCCAAGAAAATGTAAGCCAAATTTACAATTTCCAAGCACCAGGATTTGGTTTCAAATTTAGGTTAAATTGCAAGAAGTCTTCCTCACTTGGGTGTTCAAAGTCCWTGATCCAAGGGTCGATTTCATAAAAGTTGCCAAGCAAGGAAGTGCAACTTGAGCCACCTTGGATCCAAATGCATAGAGGTGTCTAAGACAAAATTAAAATTGGACTTTGCACTTTATAAAATGCATAGTACATGCCAGAACTTGACTTCAGATTGATTCATAGGTATTCACTTTTGGTGGGAATGGCTTTTTTGGGAAGACAAAGGCATTGGCCAAAGAAGTGCAGGAAATGGAAAAGATAATGAGGCATAAGAGTCTAGTGGTGAAGTTGGGATTTAACTCCATTTGTATGTGCTATTTGGTTCAATGATCTAGGTTGGTTTCTTTGTAGAATGGCACCTACACATGCATGTAAGAGATTGATAGTTGTTATTAGCAACAAGTGCTTTTATAAGATAAATTATATTTAGATATATATCATTTTAGATTAAAAAAGTTATGACCATTAAGAAATTAACATTGTTACATGTACCCAAAACCAAAACAACAAACAATAAAAATGAAATATGATGCAAAATCTTATCCAATGATCATAAAGGTTGTCTTTTAGTGTCAAAATTGGAGTTGTATTTTCTAAAATGTTGGTTAACAAAAAATAATATTTTTAAAATACTCAATCTACGAACCATGTTATCAAGGGTTAAGACCCTAATTTAATGGGTCACACTAGAAGATTGAATGTGTCAAAAACCAACTTATAAATGAATATTTTTCAAGCATCTAGCTGTAATGTAATTTTAGAATTGTAACACTTTTTTTTGTCCATATAATTACAATAAATTATTACTTAGTGGAGTTCTTCTAATCATATTGAATATTTGTTTTGATAGACTCTAAAAGGGTCACCATTGAGTAATAGATATTCATCCTACATTACATTCTCTTTTCTTGGTTGTTGTTATTATTTTTCTTTTAAATAATGATACGTATCAAGAAACTATTGATTATATATCATATTCAAATTCTTATATTTGACAAAATATTTTCTAGTTTATCTTTAATTATGTAGATCATTGATTGGAAGGCGCTTGTAAACTTGCCAATTGCCATTATAATAGATGACATTCTAAACTAATACATTTTTGTTCATTAATTCTTGCAGGGAGTGGTCAAGTACCATTCAAACCATTAGCTTCTTGCATTCCTTTTGCTATTTATTTATTTATTTTATATATGTAGGAATTTTATTAATAGTTGAAAATTGATGCWGTCCATGTTGAGTTAACCTTTATCAATGAGCATATAATTTGTGTTGCAGAACATTGGATGAYATTTTAAATTTAAATTTTACTAAAATTATATTAAAGATTTGTCAATGTTGATGTTTTCCTTATTTATGCTCAATTGTGATAGAAACTTAATGAATTAATTAATTATCTCAATAAAAAAAGTGAATAAGTACATAAAAGGAAGCTATTATATTAAATGAAATATCACCAAAATGTAGTAAATGAAATTTATTAATGGAAACATAAGAGATATAATTGAACCTTTTTAATTAGAATACATCAAAGACATCAAAATTATATGTTAGAATATTTTCTATTAATAAAAAAGCACAATCTTACCCTTTTAATGGATATTGGAAAAAGATATGGTAGAAAGATAGATACAAAGAGAGGATTTAGATCAAATTGTTCTTACAATATCAATCATAATAGATTGAGATCGTTTGAAATGGCCAGACTCACATTATTCTTATATAGAAGATAAATGAAAAGACTTTGGAGGGTAAATTTTCTAGTTTTCTTCTTTTCCTTTTATCTACTAGTCTTCATAACTAGGATATGAGTTGCTATGAATTGTAAGTTGTTTTTTCAGTACCAAATTTGCATCACATAAGACYGTTGCTATGGAGTTGTAAGTTGTCTCTTCATTAACTACACCAAAACTGGGTTTCCTTGAGGTGTCTTAAAGTTTGCAAAATGAGCATATTTAGTATACCTAATTGATCAAATATATACCATATTATAAACAAAATTAGTTCTATATCTAGTTTTGATATATTTTTTTAGYCATATCAATGCCTAAAATAAAAACATAGAAAAAATTATTTGTAACAAATGAGTTTTTTTTTTTCTTTTTCCATTTTCAAAACTGGAACTAAAAACATATTCTTGATTTTCTAATTTAAAGAACATGTTCTCACTTATTCTAATACCATGTCCATATATTTGTTTTTGTTTTAATGATGGTTTCAAAAATATGAATTGTTTTTTCAAACCACATGAACTTATTTTTCTGATTTTCAAAACAAAAACATGTTTTTTCCTAATTTGGCAATTTCAAAAACAAATGCAAACAAAAAAAAAAACATTTATGTTATAGAACACTTCCTAAGAAAAAAAACTTTGTTTATGAATAAAAAATGTTTTGAGACCAAAAGAAAGGCTGATATGGGCTATTTGTCATTGCCTCTTTAAAACACTAAAATTTCTTAAACACCAATAGAATCAAGGCCAAACTATGAATAAAACAACAATAAGAAATATGAATTGGTATCTATTCAATTAGAACATCTATCCATATCCCATATCAACTTTTATTGCTACTACCTGACCACTCCCTCTCTGCCATGCTTCATAAAATGCAAAATTTCATGAATAATAGCATTATTTGTCATTTGCCTATTAGGAAACAAACACATTTTGAAAGTGTGAAATATACTTATCCAAAAGAGGCTTTTCAAGCGATTAGTTAAATTTTTGAAAAAAAAAAACTTTATAAGCAACATTACATAAACTAATAGGTGTAAAATCTCAACTTATTAACAATTATTCTTTTTAGTAATTAACATGATAAAAGTACGATGAAATCTCCTAAAGAATTTCTTATAAACAACAAAACCCTTGACATAATCCACAATATCATTCTTTACACATCCCAAAAGAACTTGAAAATTATGAATGCCATTAGGT